GCGTACTAAAGTTGTACTACAAAGTCGCCAGTTCTCATCTTCCAGCTTCCCAGATACTCCGCGTACTAAAGTTGTACTACAAAGTCGCCAGTTCTCATCTTCCAGCTCCCCAGATACTCCGCGTACTACAGTTGTACTATAAAGTCGCCAGCGCTCATCTTCCAGCTCCCCAGATACTCCACGTACTCAAGTTGTACTACCCACTCGCCAGTTCTCATCTTCCCACTCCCCAGCGACTCCGCGTACTACAGTTGTACTACCACGTCGCCACTTCTCAGCTTCCAGCTCCCCAGCTACTCTGCGTACTAGAGTTGCGTACCAAATCGCACTCTCGCCTGCACTTCGCGCACTCGACACGCACGATCTCCGCAGAGGGTTGCACTTTCGGTTGACGCTGTTCGTCCCGCCCTCCGCCTTTAAGAGAGAATTTATAAAGTGGGGAAATGTTTTTTCATTAGGACATCTCCCGTGCTAGTTTTCCATACTCACACTTGCCTACTCATTGCATGCTTGCATGCTCAAAGCATGCTTGCGTACCCATCGCTTGTATACTTACACTGCGCGCTTGCCGAGTGTCAGTGTGTATGTGTAAGTGTCCATGTCGAAGTGTCGAGCTGCAATGAAGCTGCGTCGAGCTTGTTCACGGCGAGCCAAAGTTCTGAGGAACCATTGCCCTTCTGGATCGTCACTGACTGCTAGGCTATGGCTGCTGACATCGTCATCTCCAGTCAAAGAACCAGGAAGGTGTCGAGACTTCCCCAGGAGTGCCTGTTCAGGTGTGAAACCTCCCACTCTACTAAGCGCATTCTTGGCTGCGAATGCCTGTCTCAAACAGACACGGAACTCCTCTTCAGTGTCAATTGACAGTTCCCTGTTCATCCTATCCAACATGTTTTTCACCATTTGGCCATGGCGTTCGCATCTCCCAAGTTGCCAGTGACTCTCTCCTGCACTCAAAGAAACATGAATGTTCTCTCGCTGAAGAAACTGAGTCCACTCTTCATTTACATATATTTACATATTCACCTGCAGGATCGAGGTACAGTAATTTGCATGGTCCTGCCGAAGCCAAACATCTTCAAATTTGCTCTTTGGTTGGGTCACTGGGTGCACCCACATGTGTTCTCTGTCCCTACAAGAAGCTACTAGGGCCACTAGGGGCTCCTGGCCTTCATCTATAAAATGCATAAAGTGGAAATTCTTTCCCCGTCGTTCCACCAGGCCCCATCACCTCCTACCTCGTTGAAATCTAACTTCCTGTGAATACTCCCGGGTCTGGCCAACAACGGGGCTCCTTGATTTTCAACACAGGTGGGACATTGATATTCTTGTACCCCTTTCAGGACCTGTTCCGTCGCCCCCCGTTCCTTCAAAAAAAATTGTGAAACAGATCTGGATTAGGATGTCCATGGATGTCCTAGATTCTGATGACGACGCTTGTCCTTTCGCTCTTCAGGAGTGAGTTCCAAAAAAGCTGGTCCTGAAACTGCTATGGGTCTGGGTGCCCATGCTTCAGCTGGTGAATCGACGAAGGACTTTTCGTTAGGAACATCCACCCTTGCCTCGGGTAGATCCTCTCTTTCCTTCGCAGACATTGATGAGCTTTCATTTGACTCTGGTCCAACAATCGTCAGTTAAATTCTGGCTGGACCACATTTGCCGATGCGTATCACGCGAGACTGTTTTTGCCACTCTTCAGGGGCCCCAACAACGTCAATCACTTCCCCCGAAACTCGATGAAAATACACGGTCTTCCTCAAAGTAAGACCCCTAACATCTTCGTCTCGGTTGGGGATCCTGAAACGGTCTGTCCCTCGGCAAGTGACCATCAGGTGAACCTTCATCTCGGGGATCAACTTCTGAACATGTTCAACCAGGGGACCACTCCTAATGACATGTGGACCAACCCTTGGGGTCTCCTTTGCAACTTCCTGCATTATTGATCCCATGAAAGTGTTTCACCTGGCATCTTGAAGGCCTCAGGACATGGTTGTTTAATCACGCATCTTCAACGTTTCAGCCGGAGAGAATCCATCACATCTTGTCGGGATTCCCGAGATCATGTTGTATGCACGACAGTTCTCTTCCGGAGGAAACGATCGTCCTGCGGCAAACCCAAGCCCCCCCACCTGACATTGGTCGAATGATGCCGGCATCGTTCCTGTAGCTATCTCATACATTTCACTTTGTTTCAACATATCCGACCCCATTGGCTGTTCTAAATGAAAGTGTCGCCCCAAACACACTTGATGCCAATACAATTCATCACACAAACACAGATGCTGTCTCTCTCTCTCTTTCTCTCATCGACTAAATACAGTATGTTTTTCAGATTCACTATTTCGGGTCATGTTCAATCGTGAGAATCCCCCCAAAACTTACAATCTGGCGATGCCCAAATGTGGGTGGGTTCATACATCTCAATCCAGGTCCACAATTTGCTGATGCCCTCAGGTGTGGATAAATCACCATCTTCTTGTGTAAACCTCAATGCTCTTCCCCCTAGACCATTGATCTGTTGAGTCAATTGGGATGTTTTGAAACTGCAAGGTCCTTCGCTCCTTTTTGAGCATAAAAGCGGCTGTTGGGTTCAAGTGTTTCGTTTTGCGCGTGTCATCCTTTTTGGACGTGCACTCCTCCCTGGTCGATGCTTTCTGCTTTCGACCAGCATTCAAAAGGCGAGCTTAAGGCTCAAGCCGCTTCAGGATCCGCAGATTTTGCACTGCCGGATCTCCACCATCGGTCCTATGACCGCATTGCACCGAGCATCGGTGTGAAAGGTGCCAAGCTGGTCCTCGTAGACGAAGCTCGCTTCCCTGAGGCTCCTTTGGCCTTGAGTGGCCCTTTGACATTCCCCGCACACCGGCTGCTCTCGAACTCGGTTGGCCTTCCTCAACCCCCTGCAGCTTTGCTGTCGATGGAAGCATTGACTGGACTCAGCGAACCAAATCTTCCACGTCGGCTCACTGGGAAATCGCCTTCTCCTCCCTGTCAGGGTGATCTGCAAGTGATGCCCTCCAGGTAGGTCAGCTTGGTTCGGTGGTTCCTCATGTGGTTCACTTTGTGTGTGTTCCCTTCTCCTTTGAGCTTCATCTCCCATGCCTCCGTCCACACTGGTACTCCTTGGTGACAGAGATGAAGCGCTCAGCCCCCCATTGTTCGCTCGTTGTCGTTCCCCTTCACGATGAGATGACTCTCGTCCTCTTTCTTCTTGAAGCCTGGTAGAAGACCTTGTCCCGGAAGAGGCCTGTCCAGCCAAGCGAGAGACCCTCACTCTACGCGCCGCTGGTTCCTCCTCCACCCGACCCCAATGCAGGCGACATCTCTGAAGGATCTTCATGAGCACCATTCCCAGCAACATCATCATGACGCTGAGGAGGTACAAGATCTGGTCACCCTCGACGTTCTCATCAACACGCTCGGTGACATTCTCAGCCATAGCCCCATGCACTTCCTTCAATGCCGACAGCACCACAACGATCCTCATGGCCTTTTCTAAGTGGTACTTGGCGACCACCTTCATGGCCCGAGGTGCGAC